ACATGTACACAACTATGTTTATACCTGTATCCATAGCTTTGCTTCCTACATCTTCCCTCTTTCCTTTTACCTTCTTCCTGCCCCACCATCATGCTCTCTGCATTGAATTTAACTAGCCCAGGAGATGCCCTCTGAATGCACTGTTTTGATTGGACCTTTTTTTTTTAATGGAAGGGACCCTAATGAGACTAAGGTGTATCACTGAGAGAACCTGTCTGGTCACAGAGACACGTTTAAACACATTTTATACAGATGAGTCTGTATGTATGAATTGGAGCAATGCCTTTGCTTACCCTGACATTTGTATAGATGCGGTGCAAAATACTTATTAAAACTTGTTTTTATATGGGTGTGGATTGACGGGCATGCTTTGATGTGTTTTGCTTTTGTGCTGCCAAAACTGTCCATATCTTTCTTTCTTTTTTTCAGGAAAAATATCTGGAAGCTATCAAAATATTTTCTGGCCCATTGAAAGGAATAGACCTGGGTATGTCTGTGACAGGGACTCGTTATTTCCTTCTCTTTCCCATAATGCTCCATGTGAGCAAGACCCAAATCAAACCTTAACTCAAGCACTTGGTCAGGGTAAGGGATGTTTCAGAATACTGCCTGGAGCGCCTGTTCTAGCTCTAAATGGAACCGCCGACACAGGCTAGGTAAGCAAAAGTGACCCACAATGCACAGCTGCCCGCGGCATCGTGGTTTCCATTCAGGCTCCAGGCTCTTCCCCAGGCGGTGATGTGGGTCTGGGATAGGAGGCGGGAGTGGAAGATATACCAGTTCCATGTCCCCCTTTGCACACGACCTCCAGCGGTAGCTGTGCTGGTGGCCCGTGCCCGCTCGATGGGCAGAGTCAACCAGGGATGGTGGCAGACCGCTTGTCTTGGGCCCCTGCACCGTTCCAGCTTACGGATGCACCTGGTTACCAGGAGTGCTGCTGTTTCAGAACCTGTGTACAACGTGGTTGCCACTGAGCCAATCCCAACCCAGAGAATCAGCAGAGCTGGGTCTCAGCGTTTTCCTGGCAGACTTTTCTGAAGGAGATCAAACCCCAGCCTTCGAGTTAGCAGCCAAGTGCATTCTTATTTGCACTGTTTAGGGACCCCTCCTACACAGGCTGGCACCTATAGCTGAGATGGTGGCTTTCTGGCCTCCCGGTGCACGGTGCCAACCTGTGCTGCTCGCCTGACAATTAGTTTCTTTCTAATGGGTTTGCAACATGTTTTTCTCTTGGTTGTACTAAATCATAGTGGCTGCTGACAATGCCTTTTTCTTTCCTACAGTTTTAAGCCACTCAAATTCTTGTTTTCGTGTCAAATTCCCTCCAATAAATGCGAGGGCATTGAGTTGCTTGTGCCTAGAAGGAGACCTATTGCTTGCTGGGTGTTAGGGGTTAGGCTGCGGTTCAAATCCATCAGTTGCTCTGCGGGACAGAGTTGAGGCTGTCTGCTCTACAAAGATGGACAGTCTCGAACTCCAAAGGGGCAGTTCCGTTCAGCCCCGTATGAGTCAGAACGGGCTGACTGGCAGTGGCTCAGCTTCTCTTGTCTTTTTGTCCTCACTAACGCAGCCGTTTTCTGTCGTGCCTTCATCCCTCAGCGGTGCGGCCCCACTCTGCACCAGAGTACAAGGATGAAACGATGACCGTATTCCAGGTCCCCATATACAGTGAGTGTGCGGAAGGGACGCATCCGAGGAGGAGCAGGGGGCAGGTCCTAGGTCGTAAGATAGGAGCCTGTGGGTGAAGATGGGAACTCTGCCTGTCTGGGATGTGCGCCCTATTCTGAGCCTGATGGGGGAATTGAGCAGAGGAGTGGAGACAAGGTTCTGCCCACAGGACCTTCAAGTCCCGGGGCAGCTATGTCTAACTCAGGCACAAAGGAGCTTCAAGAAGTTCAGGGTTTTTTCCTGGCATGTTTCCAGGGACTTTTAAAGGCCCCTTGCACACCTGTGGGTTGTTACCTGGGCACTGAGGTCTGCACCTTCGTTGCTTGGGTCTGTTTGCCACCACTGTCAGTGGCTGCCTGGGAGGAGAGACTTGGTGCACATGAAGTATGGGGAACAGCACCCTAAAGGAAGCTTGGGCCAGGAGCTCTCAGCACCCCATTGCGGTCCTGGGGCCAGACTGGCTTCTGGCAAAGACAGCAGCCATCTCATGTCAGGGTCTGCCACCCCAGACTTGTGCTGGGTGTGGTCAGCCTGACACGTCCCGTGTCTGTCCTGATGACAGGTGAATCCTTCCAGGGCAGCTGGCACCTTTCTTGGCAGGACTAATAGTAGGTTGCTTACCGGGGGTACGGATGAGCATACCTCACAAAAGCCAGTGGGATGAGGCTTTGCTGCCTCTGGTGTGGGAGGAGACAGGTGTGGCTGGAACAAAGGCACTAGGCCAGTGAAAGGACAGGTTCCTTGTGACCTGATCACTCGGGCCAGATGTTGTCCGTGGCCGCTGTGCAGGCCTGCCTCCGTGCCAAGCTGATCTGTGTCCCCCATCCCGTTGGTCCTTCCTCACACCCTTTCTTCCCGCCGTGGCCCTGGGCAGCTTACTTCGTGTGCACGCAAAGGCAATGCCGGCCTCACTCCGTTCTGCAGCTTGTTTTCCTGGGACCCAGCGGGCACCAAAGACATGAGCTGGCCCAGAGACACACACAAGCAGGGCTCTGTGGAGACCAGCAGAGGAGAAATGCTGCTCACGAACTAGCTGGGGAGGTAGCTCGTTATCTCCTGTTCCAGCAGAAACCATAAGGGAGCGGTGGCGGTGCAGCAGGTCAAGTGCTTGGCTGCTAAAGCAAGGTCCGCATTTCAAACTCCACGGGAAGGAGAGTCTGTCAGCTCCCATAAAGATCTACAGTCTTGGACACCCTCGCTGCCTTCGAGTCCATGCTGACTCAGTGACCCTGTAGGACAGGGTAGAAGTGCCCTGTGCGTTTGTGAGATGAACTCTTTATGGGAATTGACAACCTCATCTTTCTCCCACAGAGTGGCTGATGGCTTTGAACTGCCATGCACATAACCCACATGCCACCAGGGCTCCTACTTTGTCCTAGGGGTCTCCATGAGTGAGAATCCACTCAGTGGCAGTGGGTGGGTTCTAGAAAGCAGGCTGAGTTTAACTAGCTTTCTGGTAGTTGAAAGGGGCCCCTCTGGCCACGGGCACGCCGTGTGTGGTATGTAACGTGATTGTTTCCTGTGCCACCTAGGTGAGCAGCATTGTCGAGATCACCAGCCAGCCCAGGCACCTCAGAGACCGCTTGGCGGGCTCAGTCCCAAGCAGCGTGCAGACTCGGGATCACCTGAAAAAGAGCAGCCCTTTGCAGACGGTAATGGGGCGTCGCACGGGACACTGGGCAGGGGCCAGCCTCGTCTTATTTCTGCCTCATTAACATTCTAAGCTAGAATCATGATTATAAGAAAGTATGGCTTTGCAAGCAGACTCTCTTCCCTCGGCCCATTTTGGTTCTATGGAGAGAATGCGAGAGGCTGTTAAACCTTTCTTGGCCGATGTGCAGCCTTGTGCAGGCCCAGCGTTTGGTGGTCCTTTTCCTCAAAGGGAAACTTTTGGTCGTTAGCAAATCAATTCCAACTCTGTACAACAGAGCGAAGCACCAGCTGTCCTGCACCATGCTCACAATCATTGCTATGTTTGACAAAGTGTGTCAGTCTATCTTGTGTAGGGTCTTCCCCTTTTTTTGTGTGTGTGTAAGAAAGAACTTTATATCAAGGAGTAATCCTGTACCCATTAAACTTCCCAACTCAGTCCAGCTCAATTCCATAAGTCTCGAACTAGTCCACAAGTCCCTCTTCAGACTCATGCAGCCACATGCAATGATGCGGAAGGTAGGAGATCACAGGCCAATGGGTGAAAAGTCTTGTGGATCCAGTGGTGGTGGAAGAATCACAGGGCTGGTGCAGGTCTCAGCATGGCTCTTCAACAGGAAGGTGAAGGCAGACAGAGGGGAGGTTTCCAGGGCCCTCCTAAGGAGAGGGCCACACCCACAAGGAGGTACGATCAGGCTGTGACCAGATTGACAAGCAAGACTCCCCTCTACACGTTTATATCTTCAAGTTAACTCAAAATTATGTAACTACCACAGATGCTTCTTCCGTTTGACTGATACCTTATGAGTGTTCAATACAGAATGAAAAAATTCAAATCTTACAGATAATTTCAACCGCTGAATTCTCTATATTAGCTGAGACTGGCATGTGGATGAAAGTTAAAATTTCTCCCTTTGTTGTTTCTTAATCTTCCCATTCACAGTTATTGTTATGATCCCTCCTCAGTAAATGTCTTCAACATGAAACCTTCATTCTCCTAGAGTCCGCTTCTTGGAAAACTTAAGCATAATATGTGGGGTAAAAAGAACTGAGAATGGTATAAACTTAAACGAGTCTTTAAATATTCGAATAGTCCTATGATAATTTTTTGTAAAATCTTATTATCTACAAATGAAACAGTTAATTTAAATAATAGGCACTCATGTTTATGACTCTGAAAATCAGATGAATTATCTCACCAACTGGTAGGTAACACTGTAAAAGAGAGAAATACATTTATTTTTCAGAAAAGAAAAAGTAAAAGACCTCACTGTTCTTACTAACTTGTAGCAAATAAATCAGAATATAGTAATTATCATGTTACTAAATATTACCTATTATTTTTTTTAGTAACATAGAGTCTGTTTGGGAACTGGAACTTTTCTAGGCCAAAAGATTTCTCAAGCAACAATCAGGGATCCAGGTTATGGAGGCTTTGCACACTGTAATAAATGAACAAAATAGATGAGCCCTCAGTTTATATAGCAGCGAAAGATTGTTTCAGCTACACTTCAGAGGTAATATCACATTCTTCTTCATATAATCCAGCTTCTCTGATTATTTGATCCAGATATATTGAATAATTCTTTAAAAAAATTTTTTATTGGGGGCTCATACAACTCTTATCACAATCCATACATACATCAATTGTATAAAGCACATTTGTACATTCATTGCCCCTCATCCTCAAAACATTTGTTCTCCACTTAAGCCCCTGGCATCAGCTCCTCATTTTCCCCCTCCCTCCCCTCTCCTCCCTCCCTCATGAACCCTTGATAATTTATAAATTATTACTTTGTTATATCTTACATTGTCCAACGTCTCCCTTCACCCACTTTTCTGTTGTCCGTGTCCCAGGGAGGAGGTTATATGTAGATCCCTGTAATCAGTTCCCCCTCTCTACCCCACCCTCCTTCCACCCTCCCTGTATCGCCACTCTCACCACTGGTCCTGAAGGGATCATCTGTCCTGGATTCCCTGTGTTTCCAGTTCCTATCTGTACCAGTGTACATCCTCTGGTCTAGCCAGATTTGTAAGGTAGAATTGGGATCATGATAGTGTGTGTGTGCAGGGGGGGCGGCAGGGAGGAAGCCTTTAGGAACTAGAGGAAAGTTGTATGTTTCATTGTTGCTACACTGCACCCTGACTGGCTCATCTCCTCCCCATGACCCTTCTGTAAGGAGATGTCCAGTTGTCTACAGATGGGCTTTGGGTCCCCACTCTGTACTCCCCTTCATTCACAATGATATGATTTTTTGTTCTTTGATGCCTGATACCTGATCCCTGTGACACCTCGTGATCACAAAGGCTGGTGTGCTTCTTCCATGTGGGCTGTGTTGCTTCTCAGCTAGAGGGCTGCTTGTTTGCCTTCAAGCCTTTGGGGTCTTCCTCTATTTTGCTGGTCCTCTGCTGTTCCAAGCAAGATGTCTGGGGGCGAAGCAGCTCCTGGCACGTTGCATTTTTGTTAACACACCTTCACTTATGGTACTTTGACTGCTAAACTGACAAGACAGGGTCAGACCTATGAATAGATGGGTCCCTTTTCTGCTAGAATAGCAACCTTCTGAGAAATTAGCTCACAATGACAAGACTAGGTATCTCAGGGGATCCTGTTGTTCAGGTGGGGAAAGTACACGGAGGCATCAGCCTGCCGACTAAGCAGACACCGGCCCTCTGTCTCAGTCAGCTTGCCTTCTCTGGATAATGTGGGGGCCGAGCGGACTGCGCCCACATGCTCTCTGCCGGCTTTCTCTTCCTTCCCTGCCGCCTCAGGGCTTCTGCAACTTGCTTCAAACTCACACAGCAACTTATTCTCTCTTCCCTGCTCCTACAGAATAGGTTTGGTTTCAAATTTCACTTGGCCATTCTAGTTCTCTGCGGTTGGCCTTTTGTGTTTTCTTCTTGTGATCTCAACTAGGGCCCCAGAGAGGCTTGAGAAGGCTCGCGTGTTCTCCGCCCTTGGCTTAGGAAGGCTGTGCCCACTGCAGAGAAGCACCAGATGACCGTCGGTTCGTGAAACCTATGCAGAGTTCCGGTTTGCATCACCGGGACTGTCATTTGTTTTTCTTCAGGTGTTCTCCAGAAAACGGGTCAGAAGAGGGACCCTTCCTTGGTAGTCGCTTTCGTCTGTAAGGTAAGTGCCATGCTGCTGGGTTCCAGGAGAACGTGCAGAACTGAGGTGGTCGGGAGGCTAGCAGAGTGTGGAATTGTGACACAGCAGGGTCTGCTGGCTGTCCAGCCTGGCTCTCGCCATCCCCCAATATGGGCCTTCCACAGATAGCTGTGGGTGCCTTCAGTGTGGAATCAGCTCTTTCTGAGGAGTGGAGCCTCCCTGCGTTAGGCCTGCAAGTTCCTGCCAAACCTGAGAAACCTGTGGCTTGAATCCGCAGACACCCGTGTGCGGAGAGACTATTGGGTGGCAGCTGTGCTTGCTCGTGTCTTTGCTGAGATAACAGCTCACCTCCACCATGTCTGCGCTCAGCGCACACGTAACCCTCCTCAGACAGTCTCCTTCAAACTGAGACTTGTCGCGTCCCCAGGCCCTGCCCCAGGAAGGCGTTTCAATTCCTAAAGATTTAGCAAAGAAAATGAAAATGGATTCATTGTCAACACTCAGAGACTGACGGACACTGAATGGCATTTCTGCCCTGTCCTTGTTGCCTGTGGGATACAGCCTCAGAGTTCCGGGACTGATGTGTGAATGTAGATGGGAGGGATCGAGGTTTTGTGATAGGGTTGTATGCCCATCTTATAAGAATATATTAGGGCTTTTTGTTTTTGTGTTCACCTGACTACTCACTGAAAGGTGGTAAGTTCAGATCCACCTGGAGGCACCTCAGAAGAAAGGCCTGGCACTCTACTTCTGAAAACCCAGTGATTGAAGACTGGAGTACAGTTCTTTTCAGGGACAATTGAAGGGTACCTGGTACTAGCTCTGCTTGGCGAGCCCTGGTACATTGTATTAAACTCACAGCCCAAGTTCATGTTGAGAATTAAAGCTTAAATCCTTCCGCTCCAGTGCTCACTTCTCTCAAAGCCAGGAATCACGTCTTCAGGATATGGATACCTTCTGAAAGCAACAGTCTTCACTTTTACCTGTAAAAATTGGTACTCTTGTAAGAAATTGCTGAGAACCCAGCTTCTCAATTAGTTACTGTGTGACGTTTGCCATGTCCCCATCACAGCTTCATGTGCGGAAAGGAAGCTTCCTGGTGCTGAAAGCAAAGGAGCTAGGCCTCCCGGTGTGAGTGTCTGGGACGAGGCTGCAGGGGGGGAGGGGGGGCTCTGTTCAGGAAAGGCCCTTATTGCACTGAGCGCCCGTGTCCTTTGCAGGGGCACGGCTGCCATCGCGCCGATCATTGCTGCAGTGAAGGGCGGGAAAAGCGTTACCTATGAAGGCAGAGAGGTGAGATGCCTGCGGAGCTTTCGTCACTGATGTCCTCAGCATCGCTGATGTCCTCAGCATCGCGGGGACACTGCCCAGATGCGCCGGCTGTGTGGAGCAGTGGAATGGTGTTGCCGGCCGGTATTCAGCTCCGTGATAAAGTGGGATCTTTCTGTACATAGGTTGTGTAGGTCACCCTTCCGATGGGAAGGCCTGCTTTCCATGCACTGGAGCTCAGGGCAGCGGGCAGCAGTGCCTCCCATAAGGATGCCATGGCACCTGAGGGTGCTAGGGCCAATGGCCACCAACCAGTCTCGAATGCTGAGACTGGCTTTCTAACCACTACAGGTCTCAGCTGTCTTCTGCCAGTTTGCTGCCTGTCTCTTTAACTGTTAACAGAGGAGTCAGCCAGCGTGTGGGTGCTCCTCAAAGTTGGCTGTGTGCCGTGGGCATCCTTAGAGTTACTGCATGGGGATTTATCTCATGAGGCAAGTGAGTTGAGGCTGTGCCGATTGTCTGAGCTGTGACTGCTCTGGGAGGCCAGCAGGACTCACTACTGGTTGGTTTAATTTTGCAGATTCTGCCTGAAGAGATCTGCGCTCCTCCCGACCCCGGCGTGGCTTTTATTGTGGTAGAGTGTCCTGACGGCGGGTTCATACAGCCCATCTGTGAGAATGCTGCCTTTGAGAGGTAAGGGCGGTCTCGGCCAGCCTACCAGTCTGAAAGCTCACCTGAGCAGGGATGATATGGAGGGTGGAGCCGTGTCTGTGCACAAGCCACGGTAGCCCCCCACCTGCCATCTGGTCACTGGTGGGATTGGTACCACCCAATAGTGGGTAAGCTTTGGCGTGCACACTGGCTGTCAGTAAAGGTAGAACAAAAATGGACAACCAGAGAGCCATATGGATTAGGCAGTCAACAGCCTGCATGAGCTCTAAGCCCAAAATAAAGTCTAGAACTGTGCATTCGATTCTAACTCATCCACAAAATGCATCGTTATTCTTCCACTTCCCTAACTAGATGGAGCAGGAGCATTTCAGACCGGCTGGGCTCTGGCCCTGTGTTAAGGGACAGAGTCTTGTCTAGGTCTTAGCTTTTCTCCCAGTCTTGCCACTTTACACTTTTCCCCACGTTCCCTGGTTTTATCAGTCTGTCGACTTCTGAGCATAACCACGGGTTCCTAGAGCAGCAGGCAGCGGTGGCAGCGTCAGGCCCTGAGTGGGGTGGGACGGCAGAAGCGAGGGCCGCTTCAGTGGGCGGTGCCAGTGGGGAGCGGGGAGGATAAGTCAAGACGTAAGGTTGGTCAGTTTGTTTTTGTAAAGGTGCTGGCACCTGTTAATGAGTGCTTATGTACATATTAGTGTTTGGTCTGCTGTCTCTCGGGTGGTAGACTTAGAGATGATCTCAGTGTTTTCCTCCTGTGCCGCAGGTCCCCTCATGGTGACAGTAGTGCCAGAGACTCTTAGGGGAAAACCAAACCTACAGCGACCCGTGAATGGTTGCTCGGGCTGTCAGTCTTTACCGGACAGCCTCACCTTTCTCTGGCCGAGTGGCCTGTGGCTTTCAACTGTCACCTTGTGGCTAGCAGCCCACCCGCCCCTCCCCCCGCCCCTGAGGGCCAGAGGGAGCCCTCTGTGTGCGCTGCTGGCCTTTCTGTCGCTGGCCCCGCTACACTCAGGCTGTAGGGGGAGCAGCCTGGGGAGAATGTGGCCCCGGGGCCTACGGGCTGGCAGCTCCCCATCATGCCTGGAGTGGGGGCTGCTGGGAAGGGATCTGTGGTGCCTTCCAGGCTGACCAGTGCCCATGTGCCCAAGCTTTCTTGAGTTTGTGGCACTTCCAAAAGGACAGCCTCACTCTGCTTTCCAGGTACCAAGGGAAGGGTGGTGACGCCGTGGCCCTGGTGGCTCACATGGCCCCGGAATCCGTGCTCTTGGACAGCCGATACCAACAGTGGATGGAGAGGTACGGAGCCCGCCCGCTCAGGGCAGGGGTGCTGTGTGCGAGGAGTTCGCGTTGCTTCTCCCTTCTCGCTGTGAAACCAAGAGCAGCCGCCCTGCCTGCGTGCTCTGCTCGTAGCCCCAGCTCTCCGGTGGCTGCCTTGGGGGAGGCCTGGGAGCCGTCCCCCTGACCCCTCCTCCGCAGTGCAGCACACTTGCTGTGGAGAGGGGCCCCTCGCTGCCTCCCAGCCTCTGGGCTCTCAGGGCCCGAACAACACTGCCTCTTTGTTGCTGACTCGGCATGTGTAGCGGAGAGACTTGTGCCTGCCGATGGTGGACGGTATGCCACGCGGCATTTAGGATACGTTACTCTCCTTCTGTTTAGTTGGATCTTCTCAACAGCCTCGCGAGGTAGATGGATTCAGAAAATGCAGTGAGAGGGTGGAGCATTCACTTTGATGGAGGGACCATCCGAGTCAACCTTAGGGACACAGGCCTCCCGCCTCCCTTTGTCATTCTCCCCATGAGCCCCGCGCCCCCACTCTCCTCCCCCTCCTCAAGTCTCCTCTCTTCCTTTAGTGTCTGAGTCTTAACAGACGTGGTCTGCTCTCCTTTTACTGTGCCTCTACTTCGTCTACCCCATGCTCCTTTCTGTTTCATTTGCAAGTCATCCTGATAGGTCCAGACATGTTGGACTCATTTCAGCGCATCCTAAAGGTAGCTGAGATATGGGGCGAATGTTGGATTTTGAGGCCACAGTAAGATTTTATCTGATCGTTTAGTAGCTGTCTCTGACCAGTTGCTCTCCTTGAGTCCTTGTGACGATCCCTGTGAGATGGGAAGCCCGCCCCCCCACGGTAAAGCACACCAGCCACCTCTGGCCTTCTCTTTCTGTTTTAGGTTTGGGCCTGACACCCAGCACTTGATCCTCAACGAGAGCTGTGTGTCAGTCCACAACCTCCGTAGCCGCAAGATCCAGACGCAGCTCAACCTCATCCACCCCGACATCTTTCCTCCGCTTGCCCACCCCCGCAGTCAGGTAGTGTGCACCGGACACAGGGCAGGACAGCCGGCGGGCCCCTCCCTCCCTCACAGTCCGCCTCTCCACGAAGCACCTTCCTGTCTCTTTCTAGGGAGAAGGAGCATCCTTCCGCGTGCCCATCGTGCGGGGTGAATGCCTCCTCAAGTACCAGCTCCGGCCCCGGAGGGAGTGGCAGCGGTCAGTGTGGGGCCAGCTGAGGGCATGGCCGCAGTCGGGGGTAACAGACTCTGTGCAGAGCTGGACAGAGAATAGTGTGGGCTCTGTTGGTCCCAGCTTTACATCGCTGTCCACGGTAGCCTCAGAACACACAAATCAATGGATGTGTCTGTGCCCCACGGTGTGTGTGTACAAGCAGACTGAGGTTGAGGCAAGGGTACTAGGACTAGTGACTCCTCTCAGACTTTCCCTGCTCAGTAACCGTGATCCTGCTCCTGACCCAGCAGTGCCGGGGAACCTGTCTGTGGGTGCATCCATCTGTGGGTGTCTTATCAAGACTGGCATAGAGTCTGTCTTTGCTGCACCGTTAAAGGCTTCAGTAAGGAGGTTTTGGATTGGTGTTCCGGAGAAGGATGGCTATTCAGATGGGACATGTCCAGGTTGCGTGTTTTTGCCCTTCTTGCTGCTGCTCTGGAACAGGGAAGTGTCTCTGACAGCAAAGCAGGGACTGTGTGCCAGGGGGATTCCTCCAGTGGGATCACTGCCTCAGGGGAAGCGTCCTGAAGTAGCTTCCATCAGTATACATCGCCTTCCCCAAAGATGCTCACTGGTTAAAGATCCACCCAGGGAGGTGAGCAAAGAAGGCCCTCCATCGTTTCGCTTTTACCAGTAGAATCCAGAATGATCTGCTGCTTCAGTCTACTCCATGGGGTCCGGATCTGAATAGACCTCGCTCCAATCCCTGCGGCGGCGGTGGAATTGGCGTGCTCTCTTTAGAACTTATGTGGTGGCAGGATTCGGAGACCTGGGCTTGAAGGGGCTATGTCCCTTGGTTGGCATCGACACTGGCGGTTCTATTGGGCTGGGGGTAACGGAATCTCACTCAGCCCTGTCCCAGACCTGGTGAATGTGGATCTTGAGAGTTGGGTGTCTGGAACCCCACACTTGCTGCCGTCGCCTTGGTTCTGACTCATGGTGACCCTGTGGGACAGAGCAGAGCTGCCCCGTGGGTTCCTGAGATGGTGACGTTTCCCAGCAGTAGGAAGCACCCGCATTCTCCCACTGGGCAGCTCAACCGGTCACCCGCTGTGCCCAACCCTCCACTGATATTAATGTCCATCCAGGTTAAAGGGCCGGTGGCCCAGGACCTTGCTTCTCAGCAGTCAGGTCTAGCATTATCTAAGGCTTGCTAGAAATGCTGAATCTCAGCCCCCTT